AGTCCTTTATCCATTTTGAGTTTATTTTTGTGTATGGTGTAAGTTGGTGGTCTAGTTTCATTTTTTTTGCAGTATCTGTCCAGTTTTCCCAACACCATTTATTGAAGAGATTGTCTTTCTTCCATTGTATGCTCTTGCCTTCTTTGTCAAATATTAATTGAGCATACTGGCTTGTCTCAATTTCTGGGTTCTCTGTTCTGTTCCACTCGTCTATATGTCTGTTCTGGTGCCAGTACCAGGCAGTTTTGAGAACAGTGGCTTTGTAGTATAGCTTGATATTTGGTATTGTGATCTCGCCTACATTGTTGTTCTTTCTCAAGATTGCTGCAGCTATTCGTGATTTTTTTTTCATTCCAGATAAATTTTTGAAGAGTTTGTCCTAGGCACGTGGTATTTGTGGAAGAGCCACGCTCAAGGGGCCGCAGTTTGCCGACCACTGACATAGTATATTCTTCCATTTGTTCATGTCTTCCTCTGTCTCTTTTTTCAATGTCCTGTAGCTTTCTGAGTAGAGGTCTTTTGCCTCTTTATTTAAGTTTATTCCTAGGTATCTTAATTTTTTTTGGTGTGATGGTAAATGGGATTAAAATGGGCCATTCTTGGAAGAGTGTGAGTAAGGGAATGGCATGGTCAGAATTTTTTGTCTATGGCTTATGCCAACCAAGCTATTTAATAATGTATTTTTACTTTCCTCAGAGCATTATAAAAAATGTTAGGTTAGTAAAGAGATATAAAATATTAAGTGAGCATCAGTTTCCCCCAACTTATTTTTCTTTCTCTTTTGAAAAGTTTTTCTATGCCTGTAACTGCCCCCTTTGTCCCCCAACCCCTAAACAATAACAACAACAAGTCAAGTGGTTTCAATATAGGTTGGAACAAAAGTAGTTTTATAGTTTTTCATATGGAATATAATACAATAATTAATAAACAATAGTACTAAATGGGAAGTGAGGAAGTAAGTTGAGAAGGAGTTTCAAGAACTTTGGGTCTAAGGAAGAGAAGAGAGTTTGGTAGTTGAAGGGGTATGTGGGGTTGAGGAAGCGATTTGAGGTGAGGTTAAACTGGAGAGACTTGATTTATCCTACATAATAAAGATGTAATATGGAAATGGTCGTTACGCTGTGAAGTGTAATGACCAACTGCTTAATGACCAGATCACGGATCAGGAGGAGGGTGGGGCAGCGAGACAAGTGAGCGCGGCGGAGAGCTACAGGAGGGGCAGGGCTGCAAGTTATGAGGGGGGCATTGGGGAGGAGAGATGGTGGGAGCTATAGGAGGGTGACAGCAAGCTACTGGCACATGAATTCATGCACAGGGCTACTACTAAGATCATAAGTTTCTTATTTCTTACAAATGAGGCAGGGCAGGGTAGTGGATGGAGAGCTACTGGAGGGCGGCAGCAAGCTACTGGTGAGCTACTGGTGCACGGATTCATGTGCAGGGCTACTAGTGTTTAAATAAGAAGTCAGAGCACATTTGAGGGAAAAGCCTTTGGTAGGAGGAGTGAGACTATTTGTTGGAATAGGAAGGAAGAGAAAGTAGGGTCAGTGGAAGGAAGCTTTTAAATTTGATGATGGAAAATAATTAATTTCTGTTTATTAATGAATTATACAGTGAAGTCATCAGCTGATCTGTAATGAGTGTGGGGAAGGTGAAGGGATGTGGGATAATGGAGACGGTTTTAAATAGTTGTTTTATAGTTTGGGAAAGTGAATTTAGTAGAGAAATAGAATGTGATCAATAGGTAAAATTATATGTGGGAATTGTAGTAGTGAATTTAACATAAAACCAGTCAGCTGTCCCCGCCACCCCCACCTTTTTGGTGATTTTTTTCTATATCAGTATACAACTATACTTCAGTATAGACATGTTGGATTCATCCAGACTTGGGATTTTTCCAAATAAATAATATGGAAGGAGACAGTGGCCAGAAATTTAGAATATTTTCAAGGTAGTGATTATGATGGGCCAAGGAATATAAGCTAGACAAAGAGGGAAATCCCTCAGAAAGCGGCTGACGCATTACGAAGTTGTGGGGCCAAGGAAATCCAAGAGCTATTGTAGTGGGAGCAGTTGAGTAGGGAACACTGACCATCTTAGCTTCCCTTTAGTTCCTCAGCATCTAACTGCACTGGCTTGTGACAGTCTGATTCTTCCAGTGTTACTGATATCAGATGAAAGTGTTTTAGGAAGCCTTCAATAAACATAGAATCAAAGAGCTCCATTTGAAATCCTAAGGTTATTCAGTCTGTGATCCAAGCATGTCTGGGCTGTATGGTGGGCTAATGAGAGAGTCCATCCAATAAGGGCTCTGAGCCTCCTGGGAAAGAACTTTATCCTAATGAAGGAGCAGTTGGAGGTACAGTGAATTGGTCTAATTTAAGCTGATCAGTGATGAAAGGAAAGGAGTGCTTCACATTGAGCATAGTCATCATGGCCAAGCTCCAAGAACTTTTTCTTGAGTTGAAGGGGAAGATTCTGCAATCAAGAGAGTTGAAATGGAGAGCACTGTTTACTAAAATATCTGAGGCCAGTGAGGACACAAGGCAGTAAACCACTTATGTAATGGAACATAGCACAGAGCATTCTTAAAGGTAAAAGTTACTTTGCAGAATTACTTATAATAGCAACATAGTAATTATTATTGCAGGAAGTTGAATTATTGCGTGGGTCAAGAAATGAAGTTCCTGTAATTGCAGGTGGTGGTGGAGCTGTAGAATTTTTTTTTTGTTGTTATGACCCTATTTTTATGCCTTGGCTAGCATAGCCTGGTTAAACACAGCGTGCATAGATTACTGTTATGCATATTTCTGGGGTTGATGTAACTGATAGCTTTGTAGGTAGATGCCATTACTGTTAAAGGCTCAGAGATCTCTTAAAGAGATCTCTTTAAGAGATCTAGCAGTTCCATCTAGCAGATGTTTTTCTGTTAGGAACCACAAATTCAGGGAATGTCAGAAAATAATGAGAGGAAAATCCAGAAGAGCTTGGTTAGAACACAAACTCTAGGAGGGACTGTGTAATCTATAAAGATTCTTGTAGGGATTAGAGACCTGATCTGATTAGGTTAGTACCATGGTTGGCAAACTGCGGCTCTCGAGCCACATGCGGCTCTTTGGCCCCTTGAGTGTGGCTCTTCCTAAGCTTTAGGAGTGCCCTAATTAAGTTAATACCAATGTACCTACCTATATAGTTTAAGTTTAAAAAATTTGGGTCTCACTAGAAATTTCAGTCGTTGTACTGTTGATATTTGGCTCTGTTGACTAATGAGTTTGCCGACCACTGGGTTAGTAGTACAGACAGATGAATACATTCATGGTTATAAGTAAGCTTTTGTTTTGCTTTAAGTAAGCAAAAATGTATGCAAATACCTTTGTTTTACCAAAAGCATCAAGCCAAGAAACACCTCAAAATATCTCCTTGGTCTATTTCTCCATCTCCATACACTCATAAAGGCACGGGATGCCAGAGCGGCAAGGGCTTTTCAGGTTATCTACTCAAACTCCTTTTATTTTGCAAGTGATAAAACTGAGACCTAGCAAGGAGAAATGGGTTGGCTTATCAAATCCATAACTCAAGTCTTCTTACTTCTTGTTTGGGGGTCACTCTTAGACTCTTTAAGAGAGACCCCTGCTCCTTTCCAAGAGACTGCTAAAGGCACAGGTTCCCTACATGAGCAGGTGTGCAGCAGCTCAAACTGAGAGTCCTTCATATGCTTCATAGGGCTCTGAAAGAGAGAGGATCTCACCATTTCCTTTCCGGGTCAGATTGGAATGGAATTGACCAAGTTTTTCTCAGATTTCTGTTGAGGTCTGGGTTGAAACCTGGCCCCTCACCTGTAGCTGGGCTGTTGCTGCGAGCATCTTCTGCCGAGTTTGCAGTACTGTGGATGAGGACATGGAGATAGGCAAACTTTGCCTTAACCACCTTATATCTTCCCACATACAAGACAGCTGCAAAAGAAGTCACAAGGTCATATCATCATCCAAGCCAGTACATGATTTAGGTTGTGGCATCAAAGCACAGCAGGGAGAAGGAAACCTGACCCCTGATGTTTGTTCTCTAGTCCATTTGCAGATATGGGTGAAACAACTTTTTGATCTCTGTCCAATTGGAAAAAGATCTGAATGTTAATGAAACAGTCAGATCCACAGTTTAGTCTTTGCCAAACGATCCCATAACTCAGAATAGTGGAGACAGAATCTGACAGGATGCAAGCTTCTTTGCTTTGAAAATGTAGCGTAGACACTGTTTTGGCATTTTGTATGACATAGGGCATATCAGAACTGAAAGACCTTTTAGGAAATTTACTCCCACCCCAATACTTTGATCACTGGAGACCCCTTAACTAAGGTTTCAGAGATTTGTGTGCAGTAACATTGGTGCAAAGTGGGAGTAAATAATACAAACTCAATATACCTTCGTGAACCACAGAAAATCTTGTGTGATGGAACTGGTGTGAGAGTCATCTATTTCAACGATTGGTATTTGATCTTCATTGGTGACTAACATATTATCTTTATAATAAAATATAACAGCTATGTAGAGTCCCCTAAAAAGAAAAGGCAAAATAAAAATTGTCCTCCACCATTTTCCTCTACTAAGCCTCAATCATGGTAAAATTTTTTTGGACATGAAAAGGATAATTTAAAATATATCTATGAGCGTATTCTTGCTAAGAATCACAAGTTCACTGGTCAAAACTCAGAGAAATTACTATCTTGTTCAAATTCTTAGAAGAAAAATGAACTTCATATTCTTTTTAAAAAATATGATAGATCTATTAAAAATTAAAATATGGTAAACATACAATATTATGAGTTTCTGGTATATAACATAATTATTCAATATTTATATACTTATGAAGTGATAACCATGATTTAAAAAAAAGAAAAACAAATCTTGTCATTTGCAACAACATGGATGGACCTAGAGGGTTATATGCTAAGTGAAATAAGTTAGACAGAGAAGGACAAATACCGAATGATTTCACTTATATGTGGAATCTAATAAAGAAAAATGAACAAAACAAAGCAACAGACTCATAGAAAGAGATCACACTGATAGTTGCCAGAGGGGTGGCGTAGGGTGGAAGGATGGCTGAAAAGGTGGAGGGAAGTAAGAGGTATGAACTTCATATTCTTTTAATAACAAAAAGTAATTTCAACTTAGTTTCTACTCAGAACCAAAACCAGCTGATTCCTGAGAAGTTAAAACTTTTTGAAAAAACAAAAACAAAAAACATAGGACCCACCGTTTCAAGGTCTTCACAAACTTGTTTGAGGAATGGAATAGGTGTTTTAGGCTCCTTGAGACTGACTGCTTGCGGCCTGTGGTTTGTAATTTTGAAGTTTCTGGAACACAGAAAAAAAATACAGTGTAAATTCCATTGGCAGGAAACACTCCCAGTACCTTCTTCCCACCTTCCTGCCTTCTACTCCCCTGTCTCCTTGGTGTTATCCTCAGTCTCATGTAGGGATTCAGCTCATTCATTCCTACAAGAAACTTTTGTATCTTGAGATGCCAGTGGTTAATTCAATGAACAGATCCTCAAAAATGTTGGCCATGAGTAACATAACTCCAGGGGAAACCACTGGGGTGTTTTGTTTATCCTCTCTGTATCAGCGGTTTATTATAAGGTGGGATAGTCCACTAAATTTTTTTTCATTATACTAGTAAAATCAATATAGGTATATTACATAAAATGAGGAGAACAGAAAATAAAAAACAAAATCCCACCCATATCATCCTGCCACTTTATTATAATCACTGCTAGCATTCTAGGAACATTTCCCCAGCATATGTGAGGGTTACAAACATAGTTGTAGACTTAGGTATGATTATTGTCCTTATTCAGGAGAAAAATTGAGACAGAAAGGTTAAGTGAGTTGTCCAAGATAAAAATACACCAGTACCCAGAGAAACAGAGACATTCATTCACTGAATAAGTATTTGTTGAGACACTACTGTGTGCAAGGTTTTGTGGCTACCGTAGTGAGCAAATCACCCATTGCATCTGTTCAGCTCTTCTGTTTACAACCTGGAGCTCTCTGACAAAAGCAGTAGACTTCTTTGCAAACAGGGCTCTATGGAGCTGAATGAGATGATCACTGATTCTAATTATCTTCAATGTAATGAAGGGAAGCTGAGGTTGGGCCATCATCAAACTTTTGACACATCTGTCAGTGGGGATGAGAGTATGATCCATATTGGTGCTGTTCGACATGGAATCCTGGGTGATGGCCCATGGCGGAGGCCCAGTGTGATTCTGCCCACGATCCTATAGGAGCAGTTGGGAGTGAGCTGACACAAGCATTCATGCCAGCTTCAAGCTTAAGCTGGTAACAGTTATTCCTGGCAGAACAAAGCAAAAGCATTTTTTTCTGACTTGAACATGAATTCAGCTGGTCATATCCTGCTTGAAAATGATGCTGCTGGGACTTCCGGTTAAAGCAGCATATTGAACGCATTCATTACATAGCGCTCTCTCCTTAAACCTCACAAAATGCAGAGCAAAAAGATTTTAAAAATCTATAAAGACAAAGACATGAATCTATTAAGACAATGAGATGGGACAGGAGACAAAAGCAAGTGAATTTTGGTAGCTGGAAAGCAGATGGACAGATGGATTTAGCAGACTTGAGAAAGATGAATCCTAAGCCAGCAGTGGAGAAAGATGAGAAGTAACCTGACTCACCCTGTGGGCACCATATACTGCTGGAAGTTGGGGGTGAACATGGAGCTAAAATCAGGGGGATGTGTTTACATCTGTTTAGAAAGTAGTTAGACTTCTAGATAATCCTCCGCTACTCTGTTTAGGTAGACAGATATCCTTTCCCCTCTCTAGAAAAAAGAGTCATATTCTCTGGAAAGCACAAAAACAGGTCTTTAGAGTGGGAAACACAGGGTAGTTAATGGGC